GCCGCGCTGAACCCTTGCGATCCAGAGGCATCGGCATCGGCACCCTTGCTCTTGCTCTGGTCGTTCAAGTTTGCATCCAAGGCCCCCTTCACAGCAGTGCTGAGGGTCGGGTGGATGTCCACGGTGCCGAAGTAGGGGATGTCAAAGTGCAGACACCGCAGGGCCTCAGCGCCGGACTCTGAAAGCCCATTCATGACGGTCTGATCCACCGAGTCAAGGATGGACATCATTTGGCCGACAATGTTGGATGACTCCTGGGAGAGCTTGTCCCGGTTGACCACGGCGAGGTGCTGCATGCGGGCGCGCACCACCTCCACGAGCTTCCGATCCGAAGCCCGTTCGGCGCAAGGGGGAATGGGCTGTGACGGGTCCTGACGGAGGTAGCTCAGAAGGAGCGTCATGGCCGACACCAAAGCAGAGTAGTCGATGTGGCGACACGACCAGGCCGAATTGTACAGCGTGCGGAAGGAGACGAACCGGCGCAGGACCTCCCTGCTCGATTCCATGCATGCGGTCTTGCTGTCGTTGTACACTCTCTCAGCAGGGTTGCGAAGCATATAGGGAAGGTGCAAGAGCACCAGGAGGTCGTGCTGCTGCACTTGGCGGAAGAGGCGGAACATTTGGCCCAGGTTGTGTTCCCTCCCTTCGAAGGGGTTGAGCAGAGGCTCCGACCACCATTCTTTTCGCCAGGGCTCGCAGGTCGCGGTCGATGGCCTGCGTCATGACGTAGGCCTCGCCCGTCTTGTTGGCGTTGCGCTGGGTAATGCGGGCGGCGATGACGGACTGCACCTTCTCCATTCTCTCCATGTCGGTGTCCCGCGCGGTTGCTTCGTCGGAGGCATAGGCGTCGTCAGTGCTTCCAACCGGAAGTCCCAGCAGCAGGGAGCTCAGACGGTCACAAATGTTGATGCGGCACCACAGGCCGTAAGGAGTGGGCTGTTGCCGGTCAGGCACAGTCGGGTCCACGGATTTCAGGGTTCGGGTGCAGCCGCGGTCAAGACCCATGAGCTGGGCCAGCCCGAGTGCCTTGCGGTAGCTCATCCACGCCTTGCGCAGGTTGCCAGCATTCGAGTGCCAGAAGCCTTGCAGAACGAGGCATTGCAGACCCTCAGAGGTGCCGAGGAACTCGTCTTTGCAAGTGACGAGGCGCGTGACGGCCGAAACGATGGAGTTCATAACCTCTGGGACCGATGTCTTCATCTGCATCACCTGCAGGTCGAAACCGGGCGGGAGCTGCTGCATGCAGATGATGATCTGGAGAAGGCGCTTGGCCAAGACGGCGGGGTGGCTGTCCACGGGCGGGATGGTGGAAACGCTGGCCGCCGTCTCGACCTTGCCTTCGATGATGTCGCGGAAGCAGCAAAAGAGGGACACGACAAAATACGGGGCCGCGCTCGCCGAGGTGATGGCCAAGGTATCGCTGGGTGCAGGAAAGAGCGAGTGAAGGGTGCGGCGAGTGGCGTCAGGGCCCGAACCTGAAGGGCCCGCGGCAGCAGAAATATCAGTGTCCCGATACGTTGCCGCAGACGATGATTCGGGTGTGGGCATTGAGTGCGGGTGAGTCGTTGCTGGTGCAGCACCCTGCCGCAGACCGAGCAGTAGGCCAATGGGGGATGCTTCCCCGGCAATCGAGGCCTCAAGCGCATGCAGCCTCTGCTGGTAGCGAGTACCACCATCGTCCCCAGAAGAAAGGCCCTGGCTGTTTTCTGTGGAAGGGGATGGCGACTCGCGTTGACGTGATGAGACAGCGAAGCCTGTCTGGGAGCCGGCCTCGGGGGTCGAGGTCATGCGATCCACGAGCTTGGTCATGAGATCTTCAAGTCGCCCCAATCGCTGGGTCAATCTCCGATCCGGCGGTTGTTGAGGGCGATCAGCGTCGACAAATTCCTGGCTGCGGCAGGCGCTTCCGCGCGCTTGACACGGAAGGCACACTGCATCGTCTCCACCGAACTGGCAGCGTATCTTGCGGCGTCGGCCTGGAAATGGTTAGTAAAATGCAGAATTGAGCAAATGAGAAGAAATACGTGCATTCCCAGCAGCTGTGCGTCCCTTTCCGGACTTTGCGCCGTCGCGATTCACTGGCGTGGTCGCCCATCTTTCAATGGTGGGTAGGCAAGTGACCTGGAAGTCTTGGCAGAAGGAGACAAGTCCTGAGGTCGTCCGTGAAACGGCCGAACTCAAGGCGGGGCGGCGGCTTTAGTAAATATTTGAACTGTGAGAGAACCAAGCCAAATCCATCGCTTGTCTCCTGTTTTTCGCTTCACCGCGTTTCGATTTCTGATGACTGGTTGCTGCGATTTGTCACAAAGGGGATGTTGACCGGGATGTAGGAAGGAAGGATGTTGCCCTTCGGCCGAACACGGACGAAAAACGGACGAAAGGCGGACGGAAGCCGACCAGGACAGGGGTCCTCACAGCGTCACGTGGGATGCAATCAGTGCCAGTCCCTCGTGTCAGCCACCCCAGTGGTCTTTGGCGCGCCGGAGGAAAAAAAACGCGTCTTCACCTACAAGAGAATGCATTAATACCCTTCGGAAGCAGGTTTTCGCACTTTGAGAGAGGATGTTTGCTTCAATCTCAATCCCCACTGCAGTGCCTGCGCGAGGAAAGGTTTGGGGTGGAGATGAAAGGTGGGGCTTCTCGTATTACTCAGCCAGCCCGATGACGTGCGGGTCTGAGTCCACCGATTTGCACACCGAATCCGCTGGGACTCTTCTGTCTTGCTCACCATCCATAGAACAACACTCGAGATGCGATCCCGCCGTTCTTGAAGCGTCAGCCCCATGATATCCTCCTTGCCAGGAAGTGGCGTAGTTGTCCTCGCTCCAATCGCACTCACGACTGGATAGGCCCGGCTCCATTTTCGCTCGCTGCAGTGGAACCTGGAAACTCTCGCCAGGGAAGAAAACCTACCATGCCAAGATTATCAGGTCGCTCTCAGAACCAGCCTCGAAGTGCCGTCTGCCAGCGCTGTTCTTCAACCAGCAATACGCCGTCCCCTCGCCTTGATACCCAAACGTCGCGACGTCCTGGACATACGACGCTCAGACGGTCCGCATTCCCAACACGCGCTTGGGAGGAGTCTTTGACGCGCTATTCTCCGTCTTCGTGGCCCCAATCCAGGTTGTCGAATAAGTTGGCTCTGCGGTCGTTTTGTCGGTCGATTCTGCTGGAGTTGCTCCAGGCGTCGCCACGTTTGCTTCCGGTCGGAGTCTCTGGTTTACGAGCGACTGCAGGCCATCAGACCCGCAAGGAATCAACACACTTGTCGCCCATGCTGTCATCAAGGGATCGTCTCTATCGCGGGAAAAGAACTTTCAGTGTTGTCAACAGCAAGCCGCGGAACACCGACAAGGCACGTGTTACACCCCAGGTCGTCTGTGTCTTGTCCTATCCGAGACAGGGGGATGTGGTTCAACAACGGCTCAGCTCCCCGCATTGGGTCTGCGGCCCCTCTTGAACTCGGCACTGGTCAGTTGTGTGCAACTCGGAACTGCGGAATTTTGTGCCGGACAGCCCTCCTGCATACACCCGCAGGCGGTCACGAATGAGGGGGCGCTGTTCTTCCTGTTCTTATCGACGTGGTTTGCCCTCTTCGACTCTTCGACACTACTTCCGTCTGCGGCACATCCCCGGCCCGCCTTTGGTCGGGTTTTCCAAATGGTGGCTCGCGAGCTCGGCAAGGCGAGGACGCATGCACCTCGATCTTTACGAGGCCATTGAGAAGTATGGGCCGGACTTGCCCTTCACTCGTGTTGGGCCGCAGGATATCATCACGGGCGACCCCGTCTTCTTGAGGCAGATTGTGAACACGCATTCGCTCTACCAACGGTCCGACTGGTACACGGCAATGCGCTTTGATCCAACCCGCGACAATATCCTTTCTCTGCGCGACGACGAGATGCACACCAAGCACCGAGCCAAGTTGGCACCGGGCTACTCTGGGAGGGATGTCGGCCACCTGGAACCGCGGGTCGACCGCAACATCCTCGAACTGATTAACCTGCTCGACAGAGACTACGTCTCCAAGGGCCGGGTGTTTGACTTTGGCAGGAAGGCGCAGTATTTCACCATGGACGTCATCGCGGATGTGGCATTTGGACAGGCCTTCGGCTTTGTTGCGTCTGACTCGGACATGTACGATTACATCGGGCTGCTCGAGAAGCTGATGCCAACCCTGATCATGAACCAGGTTTTCCCCTGGGTCGTGGACGTGATGGGTTGGCCCCGACGCCGTCGTTGAAAAAGACATGCTCGGCTCCTTCGTCTCGCACGGCCTCAGCCAAGCCGACGCCGAATCGGAAATCCTCGTCCAAGTGCTCGCCGGCTCCGACACCACCGCCACCGCCACCGCCATCCGCGCCACCACTCTCCATGTCATCACCAGCCCACGCGTCGAGACCCGGTTGCGCGCCGAGATTGCCGCTGCGGGTGTTGCCTCCCGCCCGTGGAACACGGTCATCTCCGATGCCGAAGCCAGGCGTCTCCCTTACTTGCAAGCCGTGGTCAAGGAAGGGCTTCGCATTTTCCCTCCTGCCGTGGGACTGGGATCCAAGTCTGTCCCTCCCGCGGGAGACACCTACCGTGGCGTTTACCTCCCAGGGGGGAACCAAGGTGGGATATTGCGCCTGGGGCGTCTCGCGGAACCGCAGCGTGTGGGGGGAGGATGCTGAGGAGTTCCGGCCGGAGAGGTGGTTGCAGGCGGAGGGGGGGAAGCTGAGGGAGATGGAGGCCACGCTGGATTTGGTTTTTGGCACGGGGAGGTGGCAGTGCTTGGGGAGGAATGTGGCGCTGATGGAGCTGAACAAGATCTTTGTGGAGCTGCTGAGGCGGTTTGAGCTGGTCGTTATGAAGCCGGGGGAGCCCTGGCATTCGAGGAGCGCAGGGTTGTTCACGCAGAATGAGTTTTGGCTGAAGGGGTATCGGCGGGGCTAGAGTGGATGTCACGGTGTGTGTTACAGAGAGGAAACACTGAGTCATGAAACCAACAAAAACTTGAAGCCTGATTAGCTCAGCTGGTTAGAGCGTCGTACTAATATCTGAAGAGTCAGATATGAAGTCATGCGAAGGTCAACAGTTCAATCCTGTTATTGGGCATCGGATTTCCTTTTTGGCTGGCGTGTATGTTTTGAATTTATTTTGGTGCAGGCTTCCGCATATTGTTAGCACGTAAGGGGATTTTCCAACAGAACACAATCGCTGGTAGACCGGGTGTTCTGAATGACTTGGTTTTCGGTTGTCGGGTTTTGCAGGAACATAGCCGGGCTATGCCGACTCGTCCGGCTCCGTGGCCGGGAAATGTCGTTGCATGACATGATCGAAAACCCGAGCATGACAAGCCGCTCCCGCCGAAAGCAAGATGGGATCCGGCGAGGTAAAAATCCGGGGTTCGCTTACACAGCATGCATAACTAATGAGAATACATAGCAGATTTCCAGTTAACCTCAATTATCTGATGTGATGGTAGATAGCTATGAAAACATCCTGACCACCATGATGCATCTGTCCGGGCAAGCACGGAGCAGTGATAATAAAACCCACCCAATCCCTAGACTGTTCCGACTCGAATTAAAATGTCCCAACCCCAGCCCTTGCTGAGATTTTCATTTTCCACTTGACGATTTGGCGAAAGGGGAGAGAACCTAAGCCCTCCGGGTGCACTTCTGCCACTGGAGGTAGTGGATCTGCTTGAACTTGAGATCGGCAGAGTCGACGGTGAGGAGACCGGCCTTGGCGGTGTTGCTGTCCTTGGGGGCGATGCGGACCTCGGAGTTGATGCTGAGGATGCCCTCCTGGCCGCAGGGCGACCAGACGGTGGTCTGCAGACCGAACTGGTCGCTCTTGAGGTAGTTGTTCTCGTAGGGGCCGTTGATGGTCATTTGCGAGGTGGCCTGGCCCGAGATGCCCTGGAAGTAGTAGGTGGACTTGCAGGTGCCGACATCGCCGGCGGGGATCTGCGCGTAGCCGCGGTAGTCGGCCTTGAAGACGCTGAACTGCCAGCCGGCGGGGTACTTGAGCTTGACGAGCAGGTTGCAGTTCCGGCGCAGCTTGCCGGCCGCGACGCCCTTGCCGGACTCGGCGATGAACTCGGAGAAGAGGAGGGTGACGGCCGTCAGATCCGACGCGAGAAGACCAGCAACCGTGCCGGCGTTGCAGCCCGAGCCGGCGTAGGCAATGCTGTCGATTTGCACCTCGTGGCCCGAGGGACCGGCCGATGGCAGAATGCCCCCGATGAAGTCCGGCTCGGCAGCGGGCAGCGCGGCAACAAGGCCGGCAAAGGGGAGGACGTTGGACAGACGCATTTTCAAAAAAAGATGAAGATTGATCTGAGAGTGTAAGAGGTGGCGAGTTGAAGCTGAGACTGGTGATGAGGATGAGGATGCTGATGATCTGATGATGCTGAAAACAAAAACACTTCCCAACGGCGACGCGCTCAGGTCTTTATACTCATCAAAACACCACAACATCACAAAAACGATCACGATATCTCGGCCCGCTCACCACAGCTTGATCGGGCCCTGTTTCTATTTCTGGCTACGCCACCGCGAGCGAGATATTAGCTACTCTACTCTGCGAATTGCGATGCTACCTCTTGCCCCTTTGTGGCTCTCCGTCAAGCTCCGTCAAGCTCTTCCGACCGGGCGGCCGTCACGGGACTGCATCGACTGCATTGGTGGGAAATGAAGGCAGGGCATGGGTCTCCTGACGGTTCCCTCCTTGGGGCCCTGGCATCTTCCAGGAAAGCGAGCTGCTGGCGTCTTGGGCAGGGAGGGGCTGCATATGAAGCGTGATATTAAACCTCGAGCTTTTGCGGCCCTGAGGGATGTTGTAGTTAATCTCCATCTTCTAGCCTCATTCTATTTTTGGAGATAGGGTCGGGTGTGCCCCAGGTCCAGCAGTTTGGTGCGGCCCCCCCAGGGGTCTGGGCTAGCCACACACATTTCCTGGATCGGTGGAGGACCAAGAACAAAAACTTCACCTCCTCCTTCTTGTCCTCGGCCAAGCTCGGTCGAATTATTCACACGCGAGCGCATCTGGCCGCGCCGGCGCAATATCGAGACCACCAGACTCACCACTCGGCCCCTTTTCCATTCCACCCGCACCATCAATGTTCGCCCCTGAAGGCGGCCTCTCTCCTGTTTTCTCCTCTTCGTCTCCTCATACATGCGCCGTTCCCGTCCCCACAGCTGACAAGGACGAACCCAACCCACATGAGACCTCGTACTCCGAGAACGAAGCACGAAACCCGGTTACTGGCTAATAAAGACACGGCTCGATATCAGGGTGGGGGTGCGACCCTTCGCCCTCAACCGCACCTAACAGGTGCGCTCAACAGGCTAAAACGGCCAAATAAACAAGAGCATCGACTCACCTGCACAGCGCTCGCCCAATCATTACCCTCCGCCCGACACACCAAGCAACGCCCGCAGTCGGGGTTAGCGAGGGCAACCAAGCCAAGAGGGGGGCTAAGATGAAGTCAGCATTGACGCCACCGCGGCCAGGAGGTGTGCGTTGCGCATTTGTGGCGCTCCTGCTAATCAGGGTACCCAATGCGAATTTTAGACTTTTCATGTCAAGCAGAGCCAATGCAGGTCCAGCTGGCGTAGTGGCATTGATGGTGTAAGTGGTGTGTGCCGTGGACAGGAACACACGACGTTGACACACCATTGCCGACATCAAGGGACCAATGGCACCTCAGCAACACACACAAAAACCACCAGCGTACCAGTGACGTGCTGGCTGAATCGTTACATCGGAAGTACCGGGGTCGGAAGACGCCGACTGTGAGAGGCTTCCCCACATCCCTCTCTCCCTTTCTCCCGGAGGAGCAGCAACTCCCAAACTTAGCGTCAGTAGCGAGTACTACCTCCTAGGTACGCAACAAGCTGAAAACTACCAGTCAGCATTTCCGGGTTCTGGTTCGCTGCAGGTTCGCTACAGGTTAGACTCCGAAGGCTGATAGTTGTTGACCCACACGTATAAACTGGTAAACTGCCCGGTACCTATGAACCGGCGAAATTGTCGGAATAAGGAGCCTAGTTCTTACGCAGTCGGAAGAAAGTTCCAACCGAGGTTTGGGGTAATGCACACCCTCCACCATTGCAAAGTGCCCAGCCAAGACATTGCCCGAGTCGTTGTTCCTCGGGCCAGTTACTTCGCGTGCGTTCATTCCCCGCGAGTTGGAGAACCATGGTAGATTGGGGCGGGAAAACCTTGAGCCTCATCTTAAAATAGACACATCGTACCTCTAGCTTCGACGCGGAGAGGTGAAGCGGTAACCAAAGTCGCGTTTTCTTCAAGCCGCTCCCTCACAACACTTGTAGCCTATCGCCTTCAAGTTATCCACCGAGTTTGCTGTGCACAAACACACCCACCCCTCTAGTACCCGTCTCTCCACCTATCTGCCCAAACATGTACCGTTTCCCTGCTTGACTTCCCAGCCATTCTTTTGCAACATTGTGCTTTCCATCTATCCGCCCCATACTAGAAAACTGCTTCAGAACATCGTCTGCATCACAAAGATAATACAGACGCCCTGCTAAGCTCCCAGGATCGATCGGCATCGTGGGATACTTTACAAACACCAACCCCCACAGCAAAACCAAGCTGAGGAAAGACAAAGTGCCCACAGACGCCCAGGCGCAGACGAGATGAAGCTCCCACGTCTGGATAGGGGAGAAGGGTATATTGGAAAGGAGGATGGGAACAAACTTGGAAAGGATGTTGGACAATGCGACAATGGAGGGAAACACCTCGAGCCGAACAAGAGAGGTAAAAATGCCGCTGAAGACGGTTGTTGGCGGTGATACTGTGAGCACTGATGCAGGAGCGCCCAGAGGACGTGAGAGGAGACGGTACGGCTCGAGTGTGGCAACGCCTGTAGTCAATGTCAGCACCGACACAAGGAAGACTGGGTAAGAAGGGAGGAACTCACGAGAGTAGTAGTGGTCCCAGAAAAAGGTGAGCAGGACGCCAAACCCTGTAAACAAGACGCGAACGCCGAAGCTCTGCTGGTTCATGAATCTCTCAAACGGCGTATCTGGGGACACCACGGCATTGTAGTATGTGATTAGGATGATGAGCCCCCACATGAACAGCAGGCAGCAGCAGTCAGATGTCCGCTGGCTCGACTGTCTCCCCAGGAACCACCCCCCTGGGACTGATCGAGATGTGTGACTCGGTATCCGCTTGATGGTGTCGAAGGTTGTCGTCGATATGTTGGTGAGCGTCTTGTACATCTGTGCTCCGCGCCCGATGTTTGAGGCCTGCAAAGAGATGGCCATGCGTTGGTCTGTCTTGGGCACAATCCCGTACTCTACTACTCCGTGAGAAGGATCTTTGAAGTCGCCAATCTCGAACCGGACCCCCTCAAGTCTGTCCAAGACAAGCTTGTCGTCAACACCCATTCCCTCTGCCCCAACCCCAATACCCCTGAACAGGGATCTCAACTCCTCACTTTGAGCCAGTGATCCCATGGCCATGATGCTGCCAGGGGCCATCGCAACCCCCGATTCCCAACCCCACCGCAGGAGCCAAGTCAAGCATAGCAAGATGGCCAAATCCGCTACAAGGAGTGCCTCCAATGCCCTCGCGGGCGGTAGAAATATGGCCACCTCCAAATAACACCCGTTGAAGTTATCCCGTTTGCAGCTGCCGCCAAGCCCGATGCCCACCGCCTCGCTCGATAAGGCCGTGATGACAGCCGACACCAGCACCATCATCTGCGCCAGGAGAGAGAGCGGTTCCCCTCTTCTTGCCAGCTTGAGACTGTGGAGGAAGCCGCTGAGGATGCCCCTTGGAAATAGCAACGAGTCGCTTGCGGAAGCACCTCCTTGTTTTGTCATCTGCTGGAAGGGGAGGAGGGTGTGTAGGTTGGAGGATACCATCTCGGCCAGGATGGAGACGATGACGGTGCAGAGGACGGGGACGAAGAGGAGGATGTAGTAGTCCGCGCGGGACAAGATGTACAGCCCAGGATCAGAGGCGGAGTCGGGCGTGGAGAGGGTCGACGAGGGCTTGGGAGCTCCTTGGAATAGTGTGGTTGTGGCTGTTGGGTGTCCGTTGGCATCGGTTTTGACAAGGGTGAGTGGCCTGCG